GTGTTTTGTTTGGCTGCTTGGTGTTGTTTTAACAAAGAAGAAATTCAGCACAATTTGGGTGCTGGTGTTATTCCAAGGATTGCCAGAAAGTTTCTGCTTATGTAGGATGCTCTCAATCCGGAAAAAAATAGCTCAGCATCATGCCCGTTAAGGATAATCCATCCGTGGGATAAACGGCATTACCTTAGACTCCCTGGGAAAGATGGAATGGTTGGATTTTTTTCTGTGGGTTCTGTGTGTGTTTGCGCGCACGTGCAGATGCATGCAGCAAGTAATCCATTCCCATACATGTGTCATAATTCCTGAAAATGTTCAGGAGAATTCCTGCTTTAGACCAGAGATGTTCATTTTATGTCTAATTGGCCATTTAATGTTTCTCTTAAGCTATTTATCACATTGTATCCCCACCATTCTTCTTCCAATTGCACAGGGTCCCTCACATCAGCCTTGTATAGTAGGCTCATGTGAAAGAGATCAGTTCAGTATCAGCCAATGAGTTTCATAGTAAAATCTGCCTTTCTAATAATTTCTCACCTTCTGCAATTTGAGGCCCTAGAGAGCACCGGCGACTAGAAATCTCCAATTCCACACTGTCTTGACCCCTTCCAACTGGGAATTATGGATCTCTTTCTAAATTAGAAAAATTTATATTATATTATACTATTTTCTTACTGGTTGTGCAGTTAATTGTTCTGGACTGCTATTTTCTTTTAGCATGTTAAAGCATTTTATTTGGAGCCTGAGCATTTTCCAAGTGTTTTTTGCACAGAAAACACTTTGATCCAGATGTTTTAAATATTGTGGGTTCATGAGAGATGAAGTTCTACTATCACTATTTCTTCTGGAGACACACCATACAGTATGATATTGTCACAGAAAATTCAATGGTAGAGACATGACTGATGCCCTAAAATGTATTTTCTGGTCTGCTTGTGGGATTTACACTGAAAGTCCCTTTAGTTCTTTTCTTACTAGATTCACAAACTCAGCCAAGTATCTCTTGCTTTATTGGAAGTAGAGTTGCATATGTGCTCGACAACAATGTTTAGTGGAGGGCCAGCCTCCTAAATAAAAAAAAAAAAAAATCCACATTAAGGAACGAATATAGCAAGAAGGCTTCATATGAGCTGCCTGGATTGCATCAGCAATGTTAAATATGAGAATGAATGACTGACGACAGCACGTTGCCTCTGGATAGACTTTACGAGCTTTCCAGCTGTAAGCAGAACAGCCAGCAGACGTGGAAGTGATCACATGTCTTCTTTTCAGATGCTTTAACTGCATAAAGACTCTTCCAAGCAGCCATATATTGCAGCCAAAATTATATATACTTAGCTATGCACTGGAATTCTACTTCCAAGAATCACAGTATAAACCCTTGTGCTTAAATTCGGTTTCTTAAGACTTCTGTCCAAAAGAAAAAGACTTAGACCCTCTTGTGGGTTGCCTTATTGACAACAAGGAAATTAAATATGACCCACACCCAGACCCATTTAGATTCCTGACTAGATGCCTTGCCATTTCTTCATATATTCACTTGTATACACATGCAGTGAAATAAAGGGCTTTCAGGTTTGTTTTATACACAATAGTTTTGTTTTACTGATTTCACTTTCATACAAGAAAAACCCTCTTTCATTGTATTCACTTGGTGTGCTAAGCCAGTGATTGTTTTAATTATAGTTTCTTGAAAAATTAGCAGTGCTATGTTCATATGAATATCATCTGAAGATATAAACCAAGATATAGTCCCAAACAAAAAAACCCTTATTTCTCTTTATCCATATGACTGAGTGGTCATTGGCCAGAAATAAATCCACAAAGCAAAAATAGAAAGTGTTCATTGAATCCACACCTCCCCACAACTTCCTTGTGAGTCATCCTCTAAGGACATACCTGTAGCCTTTCCCTCATCCTTGGCCCAAGGCTAAGTTTAACTAGGTTTTTTTTTTTTTTGACCCAATGTGGAAATGGTGCCTTTCATCATCTTCAACCTTGCTATATGCACAATGTGCAGATATGCTGATAATGTAATTGGCTGAGATATGTCCAGTTTCTATTGGCTACTTTGGACTGTGGCATTGTTGTCACATGGATCTGACAGGCAGGTTTTTTGATGCAATTTGTCTGGTAAACCCATGTAGAAATAATTTCAAGACAGGCAGATCATTATGGCAGTTAAAGCAAATTACAGTAAAGCAAATGACAAACACCATTGGTCTAGCACAGTGTTTTTCAAACTTGGCAGTTTTAAGAAGTGTGGACTTCATCTCCCAGAATTCAGCATGCTAGCTTAGGAATTCTGGGAGTTGAAAGCCACACATCCTAAAGTTGTCAACTTTGAAGAATACTGCTGTAACATAATGAAATCAGGGTCAAGAGAAGCAAACAAGCTAACTACACTCACAAAGTAAGAGCTCGTTTATGATTAAGGACCTAAGTTCCAGGTTTTGTTGTTGTTTTTACTATGCAGGATTAATGCATTTGCTATATGTACTGTATAGGGATTTGCTTCTCCTGAAAGAATTTGCTGAACATGTCCATGAGACAACTGGACAGCCACTTGTCAGAAATAGTACAGGGTCCCCTGCTTGAGCAGGGGTTTGGACTGGAGATGATCTACAAGGCCCTTCCAACTCTGTTATTCTGTAAGAACTGCTGTAACTGGAACAGAATGGTAATAGGGAAATTAGCTGATCTTTGGAGGGTTTTTTTAACTGAATTTGTTTTGATTTTGTCAATAGGACTACTATCAAAATAAACTAAAGCTAGCTTTAATAGGCCAGAGTCTGTTTGGACAAGAAGTCTACAAGCATTTGCAAAAAGAAGGGCACAAAGTGGTTGGAGTGTTCACAGTCCCAGACAAAAATGGAAAAGCTGATCCTTTGGGTAAGTAGATAAGGTCTAATGGCTACAGTATGGACCAGGCAGCATTTGAATGCAGAATCAATTGTACTTTTCTTAAGTTCTACTTTATGTTCTCAAACCAACCTCATCAACTAGCCTGAACCCATGTGGCTTAGATATCCGACAGTAAAGGCCATTGTGATGTTAAAATAAGATAGTGAGAGTGCAAGCTTTCTTGACTATAGTGCTACTGTAATATCTGAATGGGTTCCTACATACGTTACATCTATTTACTCAGTTGAGAATTTATTGCTGCAGGAGTTAAGGCATTAAGCTAGAAGCAAGGAGACCATGAATTCTAGGCACAAAGCCATCTTGGTAACCTCGGACCAGTCATTTCCTCTCAGTCCTAGAAATGAGATACAAGTAGTCCTTGACTTACAACTGTTTGTTTAGCAAACATTCAAAGTAACAACAGCCCTGAAAAAAAAGTGACTTATAGCAGTTAACAACCATCACAACATCCCTACTGCCATGTGATCAAAATTTGGGTGCTTGGCAACCAACATGTATTTACAATGATTGCAGCATCCCAGAGTAATGTGATTGCCCTTTGTGACCTTCCCAGCTGTCAAGCAAAGTCAAAGGAGGAAAGATGTATTCACTTAATGACCACATGATAACTGCAGTGATTCACTTAATAACCATGGCCAAAAAGTTGTAAAATTGGGCATGACTCACTGAACAACCTTGTTTACCAGTAGAAATGTTGGTCCCAATTGTGGTTGTAACTTGAGGACTACCAGTAATGGCAAACCTCTTCTGAAAAACCTTGCCAAGAAAACTGCAGAAATTTGTTCAGGCAATTGTCAGGAGTCAACACAGACTTCAAAATACACATAGACACATACACAAATTCGTTAAAGGGTTTTTATGACAGTTGTTTCAACTCCATGCTGCATGTTATATTTTAGTTCTGAAATCAAGAAAAATACTGACAAGTCTTTTTCCCCCCAGCATCAGCTGCAGAAAGGGATGGGACTCCAGTGTTCAAATTCCCAAGGTGGAGAGTTAAGGGCAAACCTATCCAAGAAGTTCTTGAAGCCTATAACTCAGTTGGTGCGGAACTGAATGTCCTTCCATTCTGCACACAGTTCATTCCAATGGAGGTTATTGACAGTCCAAAGCATGGCTCTATTATTTACCATCCGTCAATCCTTCCTCGCCACCGAGGAGCATCTGCAATCAATTGGTAAGCAGGCTTAATTATAATTTATCTGATAAATGGAAAATCAGAGAGAGGTAGTGTCTGAGATGTCCACAGTCCACATTACCTAACAGTAAGGCCAATGTTGTGACCTGGGTGAAAATAACTATGCTCAACTCCAATAAAGTTTCCTGACAAAGGTTTTCCTCTGTAATTATTTTGCCTTGTTAATGGAATTTTATGGGGAAGACTTTCTCCAGGTTTCATCTTTTCATTTGTAACTTTTCCCAGTTTCCATCTATTAAAGGAAAAACATGACAGTTGTTGATTAATAGTAGTGCAAGTGAACTAGCTAGGAAAATTCAATGGTCCCCCCCCCCAAGTAATATACACATATAGTAAGGAATAAACACTGCAGTATTTCAAATGGATCATTTAATACAAGAATGAAAAAATAATAATTCTTCAAAAGATACAAATCTTTTGCCAAATCTGCAAAGCTAATACGTTTGTTTTATAAAGGCAAAGACTCACTAAGTCAAGTTCATCTCACAATGACTATATCCATGTAGTTTTATTTGTCAAATTTATGGGCATGCCTTGAATTGCCTTCTTTTGGGTTTGATTGCTCTGTCCAGTCTACAGTCCTGGAATCCAGATCTTAATCCAGATTAAGACAGTCCCTAATTAATCTCTGAAATCAGGCAAAGTTGAACAAAGTAATGAAGAAAGCTGACATTTTTTTTATTAAGTCATGTTTTACTTATTTTCAGGACTTTAATTCAAGGAGATAAGAAGGCTGGATTTTCTGTTTTTTGGGCAGATGAAGGTTTGGACACAGGACCAATTCTTCTGCAAAGGGAATGCGATGTTGGCCCAAATGAAACTGTTGATGACCTATATAATCGTTTTCTTTTCCCAGAGGGAATCAAAGCTATGGTGAGACATCTTGACTAATCATAAATAGCTAAAAGGTCTCACTGTACTGAGCTGTGGAGAAAAGCAGCTCAGGAAGTGAGATCTTATTTAAACAATCTCTCTGCTGTGTGAGGGAACAAAAGGAAAAAAAAGGATAATGTGCTAATTGATTGTAATGGTGAACATATGACACAGAGAGAGATACTACAAAGGTTGCAAATGCAGCCATTGGTTGCAAAATTACTTTTTCATCACTATCATAAGTGCAATTGGTCATAGTAATTTCAAGTAATCGTGAAATGTGTGCTTTATCATATCTGGAAGGCATTTAGTTGGGGAAAACTGCACTAGAGGCCTCAGCTCTGAGTCTGGAACTAAAGTAATTGTTTAATCCTGTAAAATATACTGAAGGTTAAACTGACAACTGAATATGAGATTTGTTAGAGTCCATTTATAGAAATATGGGCATGAATCTTGGAATACCACTCGACCCTGTTCTTATGACATTGCAGCCTTTCAATAGCTGTTCTGTACCTAAACCAATTAATAGGAAAAACAAAGTCCAGTTGCCTTTTGAAAAAGCATCTTTGGGACAATCATGACCTGGATGACTGAGAATCTCCACAGACATTTAGATAAATGAGCATCTGTATGGCATATGAAAAGAGAAAAAGGTGTTTGGCAAAGACTGGATTGTGAATAAAGTCTCTCTCTCTTTCCAGCAGTCCCATGTGTGGGGAAGCTGTGTTGGGAGCTAGAATTTCTATGGTGAGGAGTGTTGAATATGTCAATAAATAGCTGCCACGAACACCATGTATAAGAACTGCAAAGCAACGTTTCCAGTAAGCTGCGGCAGAGAAAGAATAGCTGATTTTAAACTTAAAGGATGTAAGAATCCTGTTAGGAGTAATCGACTGTTTATAGAGGCTTTTTTCCTAATAAAGAATAAAGATTCTTTATTAACCATACCATATGGCTAATACAGGTAGTCCTTGACTTACGACCTCAACTGAGCCCAAAATTTCTGTTGCTAAGTGAGACATTTATGAGTTTTGCCCCATTTTACAACTTTTCTTGCCACAGCTGTTAAGTGAATCACTGCAGTTGTTAAGTTAGTAACATGTTTGCTAAGTGAATCTGATTTCCTCATTGACTTTGCTTGTCAGAAGGTCACAAAAGATGATCACATGACCCCAGGACACTGCAACCGTCATAAGTATGAATCAGTTGTCAAGCATCTGAATTTGATCACATGACCTTGGGAATGCTGCAGCAGTTCTAAATATGAAAAATGGTCATAAGACACTTCTTTCAATGATGATATAACTTAATGGTCATTAAATGAACTGCTGTAAGTCGAGGACAACCTATAGAGAAGCTGCAGTCAGGGTTAAGCCAGTAAAGGGAGGGGGGCTGACAGTGCTTGTGGATGGATACGCAGATTTTATGGCCAGTCATATCCTAGTGTTGTGTATTTCCAAAAATTCTACAGGATTCAAGAGCTCACCTAATGTCAGCACTCTTCTGACCGGTTAAATAGTTAAGAAAATGTTTGCTTTCCTAGATCAATGAAAGCTGCTTTTTCATTGTTGCTGTTTAGATAGAAGCTGTGCAGCTAATTGCTGATGGCCAAGCTCCTCGAATACCTCAGCCTGAAGAAGGTGCTACATATGAAGGCATCCAGAAGAAAGAAAATGCCAAGGTATATTGAGCAACAGAACACTGTTCTTTAAAAGCCAGGCATCTCATGAAGGAGGAATGGGCTACAACACACTGGCTTTCTGGTTTTCTCTATTGAACAAGCCATGATTGGCAGAATATGCTAATCTGCAATGTTTGGTTTTGTACAGCATTTCAAGCCCCCAAAGAATTACATGTTGGTTTACTGGGATGTAGGTTATTTGTCTACCAACAGACTAACATGGTTATCCCTCTAGAGCAGGGGTGTCAAACTGCCGGCCTGCGGGCCGGACGTGTCATCTGGAAGCCGCACCCACCCCATTGCCAGCAATGGCAAAACTGTCCCGATACATCTCACAATGTCATATGATGTCGCGAGTTTGACGTGTCTGCTCTAGAGCAATGTTTCTCAACCTTAGCAATTTGAAGAAGTGTGAACTTCAAATCCTAGAATCATCCAATCAATAAGAGTAGTGTTTTTCAACTTTTCCAACTTGAAGATATGTGGATTTCAAGTCCTCAAAATTCTCAAATCAGTACAAACAAGAGTTTTCATTTAAAAAAAAAATCCATCTATTTGTATTAAGGTAAAATAGCAGTTTGTCCATGATTTCTCTACTGGTTTTTAACTGTAATAGTAATTATTTATTAGACAGAGGAAATGTTTTGTTTTTTTATTCATGTTTTTGAGTGAAGCATAGTGACCTGCTTGGCATTTCCAATGTAGGATCAATTTCTATAAAATAACATATCTTTCCTATAACAAGGGTCAGCTGCACAAAGAATATAGAATTTTATTTAAACATTCTTCATATGAATTTTTTAAATGTAATTTTTAAATCTGCGTATCAGTAATAATGTAAACATTATGGCACATTTGCTTCAAGCAATCACATTTTAATAAAGGAACTATTAATTTACATCTAGTCTGTATCAATGTATTTATCATTCATTACCATCCAATTTTCTGTATATTCAGAAACTGAACTTCTGCATTTGTTTCTGCCTGCATTTTTTTCTGTCATATATATTTTGGATGCACATTGCAGGGAAATTTCTTTATAATGATGCTGTATGAAACTTTCCATATTATATGCGTTTGATTTATAGATAACTTTTCCAAATGTAAATGGTTCATAAGCAATCTTGGGTGGAAAAAATCCAGATCCTTGTGGATATAAAGTATTATTGCTGACCACAGTGTAGAAATTGAATTGGCAAAAGTTCAGTATTTCAGATGAATGTAGATAGTGATTGGTGTTAGCTATGGTTTGTTGTAATCAACCAACTTTAAATGATGGTTTGAAAGCAGATTGTTATAAACAAATTATAAGATGCACTGGTACCTAATGCATTGTTTGAATTAATAATTTGTTGTAATAATAATAATAATAACATATTAAATTCATATGTCGCCCAACTCCCAATCATAAGCCAGGATTTGTCTTTCAGACAAGCATAGAAATGATCTTTGTGAGGGGGAGGGAAGGGGGGATGGAGGTTGTTCTGTCTTGTTTTGTTTGTACTCTAAAAGCCACTTGCTGTATATATATAAATAGGAAGAGATCAACTTTGCCTATTGGTTTCCTAGATTTCTTGGGATCAACCAGCTTTATCTTTGCATAACTGGATCAGAGGACATGATAAAGTACCTGGAGCCTGGGCAGAAATCAATGGCCAGGTAAAACATTACATATTATAAACTTACTTTATCTACTTTAGTGATAATATAAAGGTCATAGGTCCTAGTTATATCAAATAATGATCAGAAATTCATTATCTTACTACTATTATTGTTAGTAGTATTGTTTGTTAGATGCATGCTGCATTTCTTCAGGAGCAACAGCCCTTTGTGATTGATTTAGTGAAAGAGTGAGTGTCTCAAGATCATATTCCTGACGGTGGGCTTCCAATCAGATTTCATTGCACAAACTCAAAAGGAAATTACTAGAAAATGAAGAATAATTTGATAATATAACGAGATACATTTTAGTAGTAAAATCTGCTGATGACCAAAAAAAGTCAATAGTATGCCTTTTCTCTGGAATAAAACTTTCTTCTATAAGGACTTTCATTTAAGATGTAATTGGCTTTTTAATGTGCACCTTCAGTAACAATTTAAAGTCGCTTTTCCATTCCAATTGAAGGAAAGAACAAATTTTATTTCTATCGAATCCTTTCATTTCAGAAAGCTATTCATTGCTCCTACTGTTTGCTAAACCACACATAATTAAAAATTATCTTCTTTATAGATGGTTACTTTCTATGGCTCATCCATTCTTGATGGCTTAACATCTCCAGGTGAAGAGCTGGAAATAAAAGGTGCTGCAAAACCTGGTCTGGTAACTGACAAAGGTCTGGTTCTCTTTGGCAATGATGGAAAGACGGTAAGCTTTTAAAGATACAGTACTATTGAACTGAAATAAAAGATCCAAAATAACTAACTCTATGAAGATTTTCTTATAGAATGTTTCTGTACACAATTTCTATGGGCCTCTTGGATAGGGCCAAAGCCACGACTAAGTTCCTGATAAGAAATTATGCTAAAAGTATTAAAATGAAGCAGTAGCCCTCATTTTTTCCACTGTGTTGATTGCCTTTTCTGTTATTTATTCTGCAGTTGCTAGTAAAGAATCTTCAGTTTGAAGATGGAAAAATGATCCCAGCATCTAAATATTTCTCTACCGGTGAGGTAGCCGCAATAGAACTTACTGAAGAGGAGAAGAATGTGGCAGAAAATATTAAGGTAAAGATTTGATGGGAGAAAAATATAAGAAAGTGAAACCTATCTTAAAATTGATATCAATTTATTTTAAGCCTGCAGTGAGGGACTACATTCGTTTATGCTAAGCATCACTGGATGCTGCACATTAAAATATGCTCCATTTTTAGTGTTGTACATTGCAATTCAGGGCTGCAATTTAGACCGGACAACCATACAAATATTTTTAATAAATAAATAAAGTGTTCATTTTATTTATTTATTAAATTTCTATGCCAGTTGTCTCCTCTATAAGGTGACTCTGGGTGATATACAACTTAAGTCAGATGATCTGATAGTATTGGCATGCTTTGCATCTCATCTGCCAGATGTTATCATTTTAGGACCCAGGAAAGGTAACCTTGCTGTTTTCACACCTGCCCTCTGGAACTGTCTCCCCTTGAGGTCTGAATGGTGCCGGTTCTGCTGTCCTTATGAAGCCAAACTCTTTTCATTGGCATTTGGACTGGAGCTGTGTATGAACATTCCTCTGGCATGATTGGATTTTATTGTGTATGATATAGATATTATATATAATATAAATATTATATATCATATTATTTAATAAGCCACCCAGAGTCATCTTGTAGGGAAGATGAGCGGCATTAAAAATTAATAAAATAAATATCATTTGTTTTGAATTCTTGTAAACAGTATAGATTTATATGCAAGTTGGCAACCATTCAGACTGGATTATAAATATAAGAAAATAAATATTTTTAAATACAATGAACCATAGAGCTAGTTAGGAAACATATCGGCACATACTTTAAGGAAATGGTCTTCCAAAGAGGAGGTGACATCATAGAACAACCTGATTAATAAAAAATGATTTTCCACCTGAGAGGAACTTTCCTGGGATAAAACATTCTCTCAGGTTTTTAATCATTGTAGAATACCTAGAAAAAATATTGCTTTCCAAATAAATCAGTTTGTTAGGAATTTGCAGCACCTCAGATTTTATCCCCCCCAAAATGCTTTGAAGTCTGTAAGAACATAGATGTAGTACGTGTCTCCAACACTTTAAGGAAGTGTGTGTCTTTTCCTGGGATTGTGCAGCTGCCTTAAGATGCAGTTGGAGAGAGATATTATTACATCATGTCTGGGAGATCAAATCTGTATATACCCTAGTATAGATAGATACTAGTTCAACCTTGGTATCTATAATAATATATTCTAGTTGGATTAAAAAAATAATTGGAGATAATGGCAAGCACCACATCTTTTGATAATATATTTCACAGTTACTTGTGCTGCGTGAAGAAAAATGTTCTTTTCTCCATACAAAAGAAGTTCAGGATTACTTTTCAAATTTTTTTTTTAATTTGTTCAGACAAATTAACTGGCATATAGTTATGAATCATCAGTCCAAGCCTGTTTTTCATGCTCCTCCAGCTTCATGGTGAGGAGTGTAGGTACTGTAATGCAAAATAGGGAGATCAAGGTTCTTTGATGCTAATCTTAAAGCCATGTGCCTTATTAGTAATTTGGGTTATTTGTGTCATTTGTGTCATTATCTTGGGGAATTTCCATCTTTTGCAGTCCATTTGGAAGGGAATTTTGAGCAACGTGGCTGTAATTGAGGACACCACTGACTTCTTTAAAGCTGGAGCAACATCAATGGATGTGGTTAGGTAATTCACTGTTCACTGACTGAAGAGCATATGAGCATCTCATAGAGCAAAATTTACTTTTCATATTATACCTTGTGGAAGAGAGATAGTGATATCTTGGCTACAGTGTACTACAGCGGCCAGTATTTTTAACCTGAGCAAAATGAATCATATGACTCGAGCCAGAAACTCCTGTATTGCCTGTTAGCCCTGGATGTTGTGTTCCCAGGAAGCAATTTTATCACTCAGAACAAGCAGAACTGTTTGTTAATTCTGATTAATCTGTTAATGTTTTTATTTAAAACAATAATATTCCAGAGTGCCAATTCGAAGACAAATGCTGTGTAGAAAAAGGGGAAGGGGTGGGAAAACCTTGGTATACATTAACATCCCACAAAGTTTTCTGCCAGGTCAATGTTTGACTATTAAAGCTTCCTTAATTTGGATGCTTGCATGGAGCAGAATTATTCCATTCTCACTCTATGATTCTTTGACTCTGTCCATTTCTGCACTTGACCAGTTGTTCCTTTTTCAATGTCTTTATATCTTAAGGGTGATTGAAGAGATCAAGCAAAAATGTGCTGGACTTGAACTTCAGAATGAAGATATTTACATGGCCCCCAAATTTGGTGATTTTGTTCAAATGGTAGTCAGAAAGCACAGAGGAGAAGACAAGGAAGAAGAATTAGTGATAGATTATGTGAGCTGGTTTCTAAAATGTTATATGTACATTTGGGTAAATTCTATGCAGCAGATTGGTAATAAATACTGAACACTCTAAATAATTTCATCATAAGCAAAATCACAGTACTTTCCACTTATGTACTGCACATATTTGTTCGGTGGTTGAAATGTGTTTTAATATTAAGCCATCAGATATTTGTGTGTGACTGCATGCATATGCACATGTGCGTACCTTTGAATCAGTTTGATCCTTGGTGACTTTCTGGTGAAGGCCCTATAGCTTTCTTAATAAGTTTTCAAAAATGATTTGCCATTGTTTGCTTCCTAGGGCTGAGAGAGAGTGGCTGGCCCAAGGTCACCAAACTGGCTTTATGCTAAGGCAGGACTAGTCTAGAACTTCTGGTCTCCTGGTTTCTAACTTGATGCTTTAACCACTACAAATTGGTTCGTTGATATTTGCATACAATACAATACAATAATTATTTGCCTTGTGATGGAATCTGAAGATTGCTTTCAATACAATGACTTGGGCTATAATCAGTTGGAGGATCTCCAGGACATATGCTTGTTACACATCATGTTTTCTGTAGGAAAGCATTGCTTTTATGATACATTGCTGAACAAAATTGTTTGTTTTGGTCCTAGGTTTCAAAATATATTAACCATATGACTATAAAGATGCCATGTCAGTGCTTTATCAATGGGAAATTTGTAAATGCTGAAAGTGGAAACACATATGACTCTATAAATCCAACAGATGGATCAGTGAGTAAACCTCAGTACAGTAACACTTTTCCCCCCTAGAACCACTGATATTTGTAGCAATCATAGCATGCTGTTGATGGGTTTACCAATGTGTTCAGTTCTAGCTTCATTTTTTTTTTCAAAAGCAGAATATAAGCAAGCAAATGTTGTTTTAAAAGTATCAGATTTTGGTGAATTGCATTGTGTTGGGCCTTTCTTGTGGCCTTTAGAGCAGGGTGTCAAACTGGTGGCCCGTGGGCTAGATGCGTCACATGTAGGCTATGCCCACCCTGGCTCTGCAAAGGCAAAAAATGTCACAATACATCATGATACGTCACGTGACATGATTGAGTTTGACACCTGTGCTTTAGAGGGTATGACAGAACAACGGATCCAAAATATAATAACTTGCAAAATAGCCATCTTTTTCTAATGAAGATAATGCCAAAATGTATATCACAATGTTGCCTGCAAGTATGTAAGGGACAACTCTGCATACTGATATTGTAGTGACATTTCATCTCCCTCCTATGGATACACTATGCAGATTGATAACCTGTCACCATCAGGAGCATAAGAAATATGTGGTAGAAGGAGGTTTTTTCCATTATGAAATTGGTGGGGGGAGGGGAGTAGAGTAAGGTTCAACTGTTTGCTGACAACAGGTGAGCACATCTGGTTGAGAATTTCTGTGCCCATGAAGGACAAGCTGATTGATTAGATTGCCAGGAATGCAAGCTCACCAGCAAGTAAATGTACTTTTCCCATAGAATCCTGTAATCTTAAAACAGAGCAAATAGTCTGATGATGACTTGGACCATGATGAAGATTTAGGCAACAGGGGGAAAAAATGATCATCTGAAAATGTCTCTCGTATCTTCCACTTCTTGATATTACACTGCCAGAATGTCCAAATACATGTGTTGATAATTGATATCCCAGCATATCGTAAGAGCTGGCTGGAAAAACTTGATATGTACCATTGCAACTAATAATAGTTAATATCCAGAAATTGCCTGCTCAACCTCGTCTGAGAGATTAATTGAAGGCCTAATAATAATTTATAGGAAAAAGTAACAAATATTCAACACCCTTTAGTTTACTTGCTTGCATTTTAAACATCAAAGTTAATTAATTCAAGTCATCCTAATACTGGCCAGTCTAGGAAATTGTAGCTGTGTTAAAAGTATAAAGCAGATTTTTGCATAATTTTTGCAAAAAAAATGGTTATAGAATCAGAGAACTCTGGCAGTATGAACTGAACAAAACGTGTTGTTAAAGCCAGCCGCATCGTTCAGATGTCATATTTAATTTCTTTAAAATTTTGGCTTAATCATAGAACTCAACATGCTTTGACTTAGTTTCCCTTTGCAATCAAGAGCAATTAAACAAACATCTCTATTTTCCTTGGTTTATTTAGAGCTACCTGCAACCTCAGACTTCGATTCCTCTGAGAAAAATAGGCAGATTTTGTAGTTCTCTCTCTCTCTCTCTCTCTCTCTCTCTCTCTCTCTCTCTCTCTCACACACACACACACACACACACACACAAACACACCCCTACACAAACCCTGGAGTTTATATAAATGCTCCTACAAGATGGAAAAGCCAAGCGGGAATAATCCAACAGCACAGATCCACATGTCTTACATTTAGGATTAAGCCAGAATTCTAATGAGTGGTTTAACATAATGTCAGAACATGATCAGCGAATTGCTATCTACCAGTTTTATCTATTTTTTATTTTTATTTTTTGCTCTCATTTTTTTCCTCTTCTTTTTACTTTTGTCCCTTTCCCATAAAAATTGTAAGATAGCATTTATACTTCGTGTACTATCAATCTAAAAAATCAAAGATAGAAGGAGACACACAATGGAATGAATGGAAAAAATGGGAGGTTTGTAGTTGAATTAGTAAAAACTGATAAAGCTTGTTGTTTTTAAGTTAGCAATTTCTTATCTTTATGTAAGGTGATTGCTAAAGTGTCACTGGCTACAGTGAGTGATGTTCACAAAGCAGTGGCAGCAGCAAAGGATGCCTTTGAATACGGTGAATGGGGAAAGATGAATGCAAGAGAAAGAGGGCAATTAATGTACAGGTATGGCAATGCAGAATATCTTATATTCTTATTTTTATTTCTGTTCTGTTTACTCTGTAACGTCTTAATATGTCCATTTGATAGTGCAAACTTATTGAGAAAACAGACAATATAAATATGATTTTTTATTTATTTTTCTGCTGTTAAGTTAGTTTTTGACTCTGACAATTGCCTGATCTCATCCTTGCAGTAGTTTGGAAGTGGTTTGCTCTTGCTTCCTTCCTTTCTAGGGATAAGAGAGAGTGACTGGCCAGAGGCCCTCCAGCTGGCTTTGTCCTTAAAATGGGATTAGAACTCATAACCTCTAGGCCAGGACAAAATTAAATTTGATTTGACTTCATGTATTAATTTAATTAAAATTTAATTAAATATAGACAATGTCCATTTAAACATTTCTCACATCTCTGATATTAAAATGTGCAATTGTCCTTGGAAGTATTCTTGAGAGCTACATCCAGGGTTTTGGGACAGGTTCATGTTGCAAGTCAATGGTTAAAATGTGATGCTTATACTTGATGTACTAATTACTTAAATTATTGGAATATTAATTTGCCTCTAAGGAGATCAAAATGATATACTGTGAATTCTATGCCTTCAAAAACATTATCTTTGTAGCAACCTTGTAGGCTTCAGGTTACCCAGATTTAAACCTTCCTAGGTTTTTCCTGATAATATCATATAGCTGTTGTTCTTTCCCTATGTTTCTTAGAAACTACATTCACATTAAACTGATTTTCAATCATGGTTAATTGTAAGATATAATAACCTACAGATAACACTATAGTAAAAAAATCAGTCAACCACATCATGGCTTAATGTAGTGTACAAAGCAGGCTTATGAAATATTTTTCCACCCCTGGTTTCCAAACTATTACAGAATAATGGCCTGATTTTCCAATCACTCACAATTTTCATGTGACTTAAATTCGGCAAACTTACTTTCCAGAATAGCAAGTTTCAGCATGAATTCCAACATTTACAAATATGTCACGTTGTGTTTTTGTTCTACCGTCTGTATGATTCTATTGAAAGACTTGCGGATCTGATGGAAGAACATCAAGAAGAGCTGGCAACCATAGAGGCTATTGACTCTGGAGCTGTGTACACATTAGCTTTGAAGACCCACGTAGGAATGTCAGTGCAAACATTCCGATATTTTGCTGGATGGTGTGACAAAATACAGGCAAGCTAATATTTGAGTTGGTGTCAAGTCTTCAGTATTATATGTGACATTATTTAGACAATTCAATTAGTACAGAGCACAGTAATGCACTTCTTAAGGTTTCCTCAAAGACTAATTATCTTCCAGAATTAGTATGTGGGTCAGACCTAATTCTTGCTAAAGATAAAGGCAGCCCAAACCAAAACTTAGAACAATAGCAGAGTTTCTCAGCAACCCTGACGAGAATTGAAAGGGGTGACCTGTAGCTGAAGTCCATATTTCTTTGCATTATGCATACAAAAACAATGCTAATTTCACAGAAATATGAATTCATTTCTGAGAAACCAGGGCCTATGTTAAGACTGAACAACTTTATGATAGCAAGCACTTCACTTAATTATCCAAAATGGCAGAGCTACATCACACTACTGGACAGAGCTGAAATCTCCAATGCTTTCTACTTGTGGGCTAGTTTCTGCAATCTAGGGAGATAATTATGAAGTGTCAATTTTTAAAAACTGTTTAAAACTGTTTAAAGGTGGAAAACTACAGTATATTCTCAGTTGTCAGTAGTAATGGTCAGAGGGGGGTTTGGGGCATCATGAAAGAGGAAAAATGCAAGTCTGATTTATAGTTTACCAACTCCTGTCTTACATAGGCAATTGTGTGTGAAATGATTATAGGTAATCCTCGACTTACAGCCATTCATTTAGTGACTGTTCAACAGCATTGAAAAAAGTGACTTATGACTGTTTTTCACACTTATGATCGTTGCAGCATCCCCACGGTCATGTTATCCAAATTCAGATGCTTAGCAACTGATTCATACTTATGACGGTTGCAATGTCCCAGGTCACATGATCCCATTTTGTAACCTTCTGACAAGCAGAGTCAATGGGGAGGACCGGATTCACTTCACAGCTGTATTACTAACTTAACAACTGCAATAATTCACTTAACAGCCATGGCAAATAAGATGGTAAAATGAGGCAAAACTCACTTAACAGCTGTCTTGCTTAGCAACAGAAATTTGGGGCTCGCTTGTGGTCATAAGTCGAAGATTTACCTGTATTACTTTTTAAAATAAAAATATCAGTTCGGGTAAGACTTTTTTGTTTAATGAAAAGAACTCTGCTTTCAAACTGATTTCATATGCAAGGTTATCAGTGAAAAAAGCCCCCCACTGAAGAGATACAGATAATAGTAGATAATATCCGTGTAACTTCCTCACTACCAGTATTCATGTATATTTATCAGCATATGGGATTTTTAGGAGACATTCTGTAACTGCCAACAGGTTATTCAGACACATGTGATGATACAATTGATGCCGCTTTCGTCATGATTGTCATTTAAAAAAAAAGGATAAGTGTTTTTTCATTTAGGGTTCTACCATTCCAATAAACCAAGCACGACCAAACCACAATTTAACGTTCACCAGAAAAGAACCCTTAGGGTAAGATCGATTGTCTTTGTTAATGAAACCAGACTCCGATTAATTTTACTCATAACATGTTTCTCCTGTGTTTTGAAATTCAAGTTTACTTTTGTATTTCTTTCTCCCTGGAATCTGAAGAGTCTGTGCTATTATTATTCCATGGAATTATCCACTGATGATGCTGGCATGGAAGAGTGCGGCATGTTTGGCTGCTGGCAATACTTTAGTTCTGAAACCAGCACAGGTAACATCAAGCTGGCCAATGATACCCTGGAATACAGCATTCCTTGAGTTAGTAATTTCTGCCTGGCAGAGGTACAGATATAGAATGTCTCTTGACCAGTTGATTAATCCGTTGTGGACCTTAATAGAAAAGCACAGATAAAAATAGCAATAGCACTTAGACTTATATGCTGCTTCTTAGTGCTTTACAGCCCTCTCTAAGCAGTTTACAGAGTCAGCCTATTGTTCCCAACAATCTGGGTCCTCATTTTACTAACTTTGGAAAGAGGGAAGGCTAAGTCAACCTTGAGCCAGTTAGGATTGAACTCCCGGCAGTGGGCAAGGAATTAGCTTGCAATACTGCATTCTAACCATTGCGCCAGAACGGTTCAAATAAAAATAGAATGTCTGTAAACAGCATTAAAGTACAACAACATTCCCAACCTGGTGCCCAGAGCATCTTGGTAGCAACAGTAATGGGAATTTAGTTATATATTTAAGATATTTATAGACTGACTATTCTCCAGAAGATCTTACTGTGAATTACATTCATACAAGCAAGCCTAGGTAATAAAGCCAAAAAAGATAAGTGTATGCACATAGTAAAGTTTGCACTTAATTATTGCATGAGACACTATAATGAAATTAAAATATATTGTATGAAAACATACATATGGTGTATCTCTACAATCTAAATGAAATTGTTTTTATTTAGGTAACTCCGCTGACTGCCTTGAAATTTGGAGAGCTCTCTCTGAAAGCTGGATTTCCTAAAGGCGTTATCAATATTTTACCTGGTTCAGGTACAGTAGGAGTATAAATACTTATAGTCTTTCCTAACTTTTGCCCTTCAGATATATTGGAAGTATGAGACCCAGAATTTTTAGTCAACATGATCAACAGTTGGGAATTATGGAATATGCATTATCACATGTCTAGAGGACCTCAACTTGGGTCCAAAGAATAGCTCAGGTGGAAAGGGGTACAGGAGCATTAAGTGACATTCTGCCTCAAAATCTCCAGCTCCCAGTTTTAGTAAAACTCATGGTATTGTATCTCTCACATCATGTAGGTGGTTTAGTAGGACAACGCTTATCAGAACATCCAGACATCCGTAAACTTGGGTTCACTGGCTCAACACCAATTGGGAAATATATCATGAAAAGGTAATATTTCTCAGTGCAAGATCTTATCTTTTGCTCAGTGGGATGTTGTGTAAATTCTGCTTTTCCTGAGAATCTCCATGTTGTTTACCAGCTGGATACTGTAGTCAGCACTGTCAGAATAATAGTGAGTTAAACACTGATATTGGTTTGGATGCACCAAACTTGTTGTGTGAGTACTTTCCCTGTTTTTGTATACTCCTTCCCACTTCCAAAATTTGCTACTACAATTTGGGTGACCTTTGCAAATTTAGCTAGGATCCAGTCAAAGTAAGAGAAAAATGTTGCCAAGCTATAAATTATAATGTACAGTAGTTTAACTATGTTTAGTATTTAACTTATTTTTGAGAAATAAGTAAAATAAGTATATAATAAAGTATTTACACCACAATATGTCTTAATATCAATAAGAAATAAGGAAAATGGTATCTGATTTTCAGGCTTCTGTCATTTATCATTTTATTCATTGTAGCTGTGCTGTCAGTAACCTGAAGAAGGTTTCTTTGGAGCTGGGTGGAAAATCGCCACTGATCATATTCAATGACTGTGAGCTTGATAAAGCTGTGAGAATGGTAAATAAGCTTTTAAGCTCCATATAAAATTTTCTTCAGAAAGAGTTTGGTTAAAATGTCACATTAATACACTGTGCCTTTTTACTAGTGTTCTAGAGAAGAGTGTGCAACCTGCATCTATCTCTACTACACTACGTGAGCTTTTTAAATTTTAAAATCCCCCTCAAGCAATTGAGGCACATAGGAACACCTACCATTTGGGCAGGAGAGAAGAGAAGAAAAGAATTGGGCAGAGGATTGCAGAAAGAAAAAGTGTGGAGAGAGAAAGACATCTCAGAAAGTAAAATTGGTGGTTTCATCCTTTTTGTTTGTGGACTTACCCACTCTTTGCCCACATATTATTGCAGATCCACAATTAGTCCCAGGGGAAAGAAATTCTCAATATTAAATATTCAGTATTCCTATTTCAATATTCGTAAAAGATAGTATGTTGTAGAGATAAGGTGCAAATACCTACAGACCCCCTCTTTGATAATCCTCTGGTTCCCTGTACTATTTGACATTTTCTAAATTTAGTTTAGAAAATTTAAAAGGATGCATCAAATCAGATTTATTTGTAGCAATGCCTTCTGGCCACACAAAACTCCCACTGGGATGGTACAGAGCAGTGATGGCGAACTTTTTAGAGACCGAGTGCCCAAACTGCAACCCAAAACCCACTTATGCATCATTGGATGGGCATGGCCCATTGGGTGGGCGTGGCTGCGGTGGTAATGGCAGACTGGGTGGGACTAAAAAGTTCAATCAATCAATTCCAACTTTGCAAGATCTTTTTTTTCCCACAAGAAGTTGAAATTGACTGATTGAACCTTTTTTTTTTTTACACACAACGATGGAAGCCTAAAGCAAAAAGCTTTTATAAAACCCAGCTGAAGGCCTAGGACTGGGGCGATGGCGCGCGTGCCCACAGAGAGGGCTCTGAGTGCCGCCTCTGGCACCCGTGCCATAGGTTCACCACCACTGGTATAGAGCATCTTGAAAGGCTGATTTACTTTCTGGTAAATTAGTATTTTTAAGACCACCATCCTCAGCAAGGGCTGGTTTCTCATGGCAGCCTAGCTGAATAAATAGATCTTCCATCACTTTCAAAATTCAAAAGGGACATCCAGCTTTAAAGTCTGACTGTTTTATATTATTAAATTTTGTTAAGTTACTAAATATATATAATAAATTTATTTATACAGTACTGCATACTATAGTCCTTCATTTATCAGTCATCACTTTTTTATGTCATCTACCTTCCATTATATGCAGAAATTCCTTTCTCGTTTTTGATGGATATGTTACTTTTCTCCAAGCTGGGGCTCTCCAGATGTGGTACAATTTAACCCACAGTTTCCTGACAGCAGGGGGAGCTGAAGAGCAACACATCTGGAAATCACTAGGTTGGAGAAGCTGAGCTACACAAAGAGAGACTGAGATTTAGCTTTACATTATGGTCTCGTTAAAAAACTGAGTGAGAAGTTTTTAAATAGAAAAAGATTTAAAGGCAACCATAAAAACAAGCAAACCAAAAATGGAATATTCTTTTTCTTATAATTCAGGGCATGGGAGCAGTATTCTTCAACAAAGGAGAGAATTGCATTGCAGCTGGTAGATTGTTTGTTGAGGAATCTATTCATGATGAATTTGTTAAAAGAGTGGTAAGAAACTTTAAGAGTGGATGTTGAAAAATAATCCTGATGTACCAATTGTACAGGTAGCCCTCAACTTACAATACAATTGGGAGCAGAATTTCTGCTGTTAAGCAAAGTGGTTGTTAAGTGAGCCATGCCCCTTTTTATCAATTTTTTGACACCGTGGTTACCATGTGAATCATGTGGTCATTAAGAAATCTGGCTTCCCTCATTGACTTTGCTTGTGGGAAGCTGCCTGGAAAGGGGGTGAAGGCAATCACACTACCCTGGGCTGCTGCAACCACAGTAAATACATGCCAATTGCCAAACACCTGAATTGTTGTAAGTCACTTTTTTCAGTGCTGTTGTAACTTCAAACGATCACTAAGTGAATGGCTATAAGTTGAGAACTACTTGTAGCGGTAATAATTTTCACTGATAAAATGTGAGTAATGGAGTGAAGCCCTATTTTCTCAGTGTTCATTGATTTTCTGATGTGGCAGAGTTTCAGGTTTGTATAGTTTGGATCAAGCAACTTTTATTACTTTTCCAGCTCTTCTGACCGTGTCCTACAGAAGGCACTTTCTGTTCCCACTTCCATTTCATTAAGCAAGGTGATATGGATATGCATACCAGCAAAAATTACTGATACACTAGCTTTCCTCAGCATCAGATGTTATGGGCATTAAAATGTGAAATACAGCATCCAAAGTATACCAGATTGTTTCCTTATATTTGGCTTGAGGTTTAGGAACATATTAATGTTACATTCTACAGGACTTTATATTTCTTCTGTGTCTAGATTGAACTTTAAACTGCCAGAATGAACCACCTTCTTGTCTTTGTTGTTGGTCAAAAATAAGTTATTATTGGTACGTTTCTGGTAGTAGCCAACATACCAGCCAGAATGGGCCGGGCTCTGTGTCTCTCCACATTCACATAGCATGTTGTTATCCACTAAGAGCCTCCACTCAAGCACATTGGTTTTACATTCAGTCATTCCAACTCTCAACTATTCAGGGTCTTCCAAGTAGTATAAGGGAAGTCAGATCCTTCATCCATATCCTCCTTTAATGTTATTCCTTGCTCAATGGTCTCCTTCTTCCATCTTTTAATTCAATGTTGTTCTTGTGTACCCTCAAGAATGTTCTTTCCATATAGGGCTCTGTACAATATAAGGTGAACCAATAGGGGACAATGTCTTCTAACTTTAAAAATCCTAATCTAGGCATTGTTTTAAATTTGTTGTTAGTTGCGAAGTCATGTCCGACCCATCGCGACCCCATGGACAATGTTCCTCCAGGCCTTCCTGTCCTCTACCATCTTCTGGAGTCCATTTAAGCTCACGCCTACTGTTTCAGTAACTCCATCCAGACACCTCATTCTCTGTTGTCCCCTTCTATTGCCCTCAATCTTTCCCAGCATTAGGCTCTTCTCCAGTGAGTCCTTCCTTCTCATTAGGTGGAAATTAAATATAGTTTAGCTATTCAGTAGTTCCACAGATTTGAGTTGGTCTACTCTGGGTCCAAAACTAGATCCCAATTTATATAAATATGTTGTGGTTAGTTGCGAAGTCATTTCTGACTCATCGCGACCCCATGGACAATGTTCCTCCAGGCCTTCCTGTCCTCTACCATCTTCTGGAGTCCATTTAAGCTCACGCCTACTGTTTCAGTAACTCCATCCAGCCACCTCATTCTCTGTTGTCCCCTTCTATTGCCCTCAATCTTTCCCAGCATTAGGCTCTTCTCCAGTGAGTCCTTCCTTCTCATTAGGTAGCCAAAATACTTGAGTTTCAACTTCAGGATCTGGCCTTCTAAAGAGCAGTCGGGGTTGATCTCCTCTATACTATAGAATTATATGATATTATCTATAAAATTTTGGCTGATATATTATACTATTTAATCCTCACTTTCTTTGGTAATCTTTAGGTGGAAGAAACCCAAAAGATGAAAATAGGTGATCCACTTGATAGAGCTACAGACCATGGACCTCAAAATCACAAAGCACATTTGGAAAAGCTTCTAGAATATTGCCAAACTGGAGTAAAAGAAGGAGCAACTTTAGTATATGGAGGGAGACAAGTATGCAGACCAGGTAAGTAAGATCTAATATAGGACTACTCTATTACATTCACATTAATTGCACATGTACTGCAATTCAAATACATGGGTCATTTAAAGTAAAAATTGTTCATGATGTTAAAGGCAAAGTGACAAATTACATTTTGCCTCTTCTGACTAGCTGCAAGAATGAATCTAAAATCAATTTGATTTTATTGTTTTTATTTATATATTGGATTTGTTAAGACTGCTCAAATCCAAGAAGACTCTGGCAGCATACAGTAAGTCTAATATATATATTAAAAACAAAGTTAAAACCTGTCTGATCACAGAAAGATCAAAGACAGTTCATGCATCAGACCTTTAATTTTGGTCCTAATTTCTCTAGAGGCCACTCCAGAATGAAAGCAGGACTTGCTAAGCATTGGAGAGCTGCAGCAAACAATTCTTTTGGTATTGTGCTTTCATATTCCAATTGTAGTCCTATAAAACAAAATAATACCCTGTTTTGAGCAATCATATGGAAAATCTGTAAGTGAATGGTACATCCAAATCTATGCCAAACTCATGCTGGCAGATGGAGGAAGAATGCTTTCCTCTATTTGTTTTTATTTTGAGATTGTTGATTTTGTTTATGAGAAATTAGCGTTGAAGTAATTGAGTGTAATAATGTATCCTGACTTACAGTCTTCTCCTGTCCTTGATTTATGTTCAATACATAAATCTTTTCTTTGACCAATCCAAAATTTCAATTCTTCCATATCTCTTCTCTCAAGTGTCCCCATTTTTGCATATAAAAGTCTCATTTTTGTATTAAATTCTGACTTTGGAGAAGAGCCTCAGAATTTTCACTGGAATAGGAAAGGATTTCAGAGGGTGGACTTCCCTGCTTTTATTGGAGGAACTTCAATCTATGCTCTGGTTCCTGGAATAATCTCCCAGCAATTGCAATAGAAAGATTGCAGCATCCAGTCCAGTTGGGTATAAATCCTAAGTTCAGAATCCATCTGCCTGATATTAGGTTTTTATCACTTTTCAGTTTTGTTTGCATTTGAAGCTTTTTTTTCAATGTAAAGAAAATCATAGTATGGCACATTATATGAAATTTGACTAAGTGGAGTGACAAGGGAAATAATAGCAGACATTTTGCACCAGGAACTGGACCACCATAGATATGCCAGAATCTTCCTTGGCTGATGTTGTTTATCACATTTTTCCTTTTCTCTCTTTTTAAAAATAATATTGTTATTAAACTTCAACATCAAACATTAAAATACAAACTAAGATAAAAGCAAAATGGAATAACAAATTATTTAACAAAAAATACATTAAACAAATTTATAACGAAAGACTTCTGATTTTCTTTTTAGTTCAATTATATTCAGTTGGTGACCCACTAAAATGTATGTTGCTGTTTTAACAATAACTAATTGTTCAGTTTTATTCCTGCAGTCATGGTATTATCATAAGGGTCAAGTAATTATGAAGCATGTAGAGGAAGGAGAGGAGAAGAGGAAGAAGGTAACTTATTGTAAAATGCACAACAGAAACTGTAAACCTAGCTCAAAATGACCTCTTTTTGACACCCTCATGTTTGGAAACTTAAATATATATTGAATGGGTGCTCTTTTTAAAATAATCAATTGGCTAAAAATTAAAGTCCTTGTTTATTAGCCAAGTTACTTTAGTATATGGAGGGAGACAAGTATAAAATGCATTGCTGAGGACTGATAATGTATGACCCATGTATCAAGATAGAAAATGCTGGAGGTTGTAACTACCCATTTTTCTTTCATTAGGCTTCTTCATGGAACCTACCATATTTATCAATGTTGAGGATGACATGCATATTGCCCATGAGGAATCCTTTGGGCCAGTGATGATCATTTCCAAGTTCAAAGATGGGTACGTTCTGTTCCAATTAATGCTGTTGTTGCTGCAGCAGTTACAAGCTTTTCAAACCTTGGATCCTAGCAATTAATAGTCATCTGAGAAGACTGCTTCACTCCTTTTCTCCAATGCAATTTACATACTGGAGGAAAACTTCTGTGAAGTAGATTTCTCCCCTAATTTGGAATCCTGTAGGAGTGTGGAGGTTCATGAGGTTAGGATGCTGGGCTGACGATCAGCAGGCTCGCGTTTGAGAGCTGGTTGCTGCCACGAGGCGTGGTGAGCTCCCGCCACACGGTCCAGCTTCTGCTGATCCAGCAGTTCAAAGGTGGGCAATCAGAAGTAGATAAATGAGTACCACTTTGGTAGATAACTTAACAGGATCATGAAAGGAGCCCCCAACTGGGCATCCCCCAGGCAATGGTGATGTCACCGTCCAATTCTTTCAACCTGGAAGCGCTTCCGGCATGACTGTAGTAGTATCTGGAATCCTATTTAATTGCTACTGATGTTCTCTCCCAGTGTATGACCTTAAGAACTATGCAATTTTAAATTTTGTGGATTAAATATCATTGCTATATCCCTATATTTAGGGATATTCATTATATACATTCTAGCCAAGATTCAAAAATACTTCACAAAAATACCAGATTGGATTTACAGATGGCTCTAAACAATGTTGTGTTTTAATCATATTTCACTCAATTAAATTCCAATGGCAAGTTTGCAATTCCAGACAGCTACAGAATATGATTTATAAACCACGATTCCTAAACTATATGCTTGAATTGAAATAAATTTAATTATGGTTTAGCACAATATGAGAACACAATATATGCTACAAAATATAGAGTGCTAAATTTAGCATCTTTGGTAAGTTTTGTGCTGTCTATATCTTAGAATGTTTCTTTATTGCCACAGAGACATTGATGGAGTGTTAGAACGAGCCAACAGAACAGAATATGGTTTGGCTTCAGGTGTTTTCACCAAAGACATAAGCAAAGCACTATATGTCAGTGACAAACTGGAAGCTGGAACTGTTTTTATTAACACTTATAACAAAACTGATGTGGCAGCACCATTTGGTGGATTCAAGCAGTCTGGTTTTGGAAAAGATTTAGGTAAGCTACACCTTGTTTTCTCTCTAGACTCCAAGTATATTTGCAAAGTGACATGTATTAAAGGTAAGAAATTTATCACATTCCAGAACTCTTTGGGTCCTATTGTGAACAACCATGAATGATGGGTTTTGAAATGTAATGAGAAAAATTATTATTTTTTTTTATTGAAAATTTTTAAATTTTACAAAACAATACGGTTCCCTTCCCCGAGCCCCCCCAACCCTCCCATGCCCTCCCCCGACCTTCCCAGAGCTGAATATAGGCTTAATTAATATTTTTTCAAAAAGTCTTAAAACAAATATAAACCATAAACAAATCTAAATACATTAATTAAACAAATTGTAAACTAATTAACAATAATATATGTATAAAAAAAACAAAAATACAAGAAAATACAAGAAAATAGGAAGAAAGAAAAAGGGAAAAAGTCTATAAGATATCTTAAATTTTAAGTATAAGTTATTGAAAAGCTAAATAATATTTTTTTATATCCAACTTATATTGTATAAAGTCTATCCATTTTTTCCATACCAAAAAATACTTCTCTTGCGATTGGTCTTTCAAGAAAGCTGAAATCTTTGCCATTTCCGCCAAATAAGAAACTTTAAAAAACCACTCTTGCAAGGTAGGCAAAGATTCCTTCTTCCAACATTGCCCTACTAACAACCTTGCCGCTGTGATTAAATTTAACATCAATATAGTCTCTTTAGTATCACAATCAGAAACAATACCTAACAAAAACAGTTGTGGGGTAAATTTTACCCTTCTTCTAAAAATTCTTTGAATATTCCACCATATCTTAATCCAAAAAGCTTTTATATTTTTGCATGACCACCAGATATGATAATAAGTGGCATCCAAACATCCACATCTCCAACATTTAGGCTGTAAGTCAGGATACATACGAGACATTTTTTGTGGATCAAGGTGCCATCTATAAAACATTTTGTAAAAATTTTCCCTTAAATTTTGGGCTTGTATAAATTTAACATTCCTCACCAAATAATTTCCCAGGTATCTAATAGAACCGGTTCATCAAAATTTTGTGCCCATTTAACCATACATTCTTTAACTAATTCTACTAACACCCCATAAATTCTCTTAATATGGGTTCGTCTTTGATCTTTTATTTGTTTTAATAAATTCTCATCTTCTCTAAGCAAACCCACATTACGATCTATCTTCCACCTCTCCACTATTTGTCTATAATGAAACCATGAATAAATAATATTTTCTTGTATTAAATCTTCCAAAGATTTTAATTGCCAATTTTTACCATCCCATCTGAGTAATTGTGCATAAAAAACATTATCCATCTTAACTCCTCTCCTTATCCCTTCTATCGCATACCCCAGTATAGCCCATAGTGGAATTTTACATGATCGGACTCGCGGTATGACTGGATTATTTTATTCTTTTATGACTGTTTTTAACCTTGTACGCCGCCCTGAGTCCTTTGGGATTGGGCGGCATATAAATATTTGTAAATAAATAAATAAATAAATAAATAAACTCACTTCTATAATATTTCCTCCAAACCCGAAGTAAAGAAATCCTTATAATGTGAGATTTAAAGACTCTATCAACCTTTTTATTAAAAATTAAATAGGCATGCCATCCAAAAAGTAAATCCCAACCCTCTAAGAGGAGTATTTCTACATTTGTTAAATTAACCCAATCACTTATTAATGTTAAAACCACAGCATCATAATACAATTTCAAATTCGGTACCTTGAGTCCACCTCATGAGAAAAATTATTGTTATAGACTACTTGTTCTCTAAAACCCTAGTAAGACCACATCTGGAATACTGCAACCAATTTTGGTCATCATACTACAAAAAAGATGTTGAGACCTTGGAAAAAGTTCAGAGAAGAGCAACTAAAATGATCAAAGGCCAGGAGACTAAAACATAGGAAGATTTGGATTTGGCTAGTGAGAAAAGAAGAAATAGGGGTGACATGATAGCAATATTCCAGTATTTGAGGGGCTGCCACAAAACTATTCTCCAAAGCACCAGATGGCAAGACAAGAAACAATGGTTGGAAACTGATCAAAGAGAGAAGCAACTTAGAATAAGGGGAAACTTTCTAACAGTGAGGATAATTAACCAGTGGAACAGCTTGCCTTCAGAAATCATGGGCACTCCATCACCGGAAATTTTTAAGAAGAGTCTGAACAGTCACTTGTCTGAAATTGTATAGGTTCTCCTGTATGAGCAGGGGGCTGGACTAGAAGACCTTCAAGGTCTGGTCTGGTCTGTTCTATTCTATTCTATTCTATTCTTATATGTGATTTTTGTAATGGAGCAATTGTCAAAATGCATTTGAAACAAAATAGTAAATAAAGTTGTGCTACTTTACCCTTAGAATCAGAGCACACATCCAATACTATAAATTGCAGCCTGACAACATGCAATTTAGAACCTTGCAAAATGCAGGATTCTTTTAGAGTAGAGGCAAGCAATCTTTTAACATGAGGGTGAAGGTTCGTTCTCTGACCTAGTGGGTTGGTTTCGAAATGTATCAGGCTAGGTAACATCTTCAATGGAGTTTAGTTTAATCCCCCTAAACTCCATATCAATCTGTCTTTTGTATTGCATTCTATTTAACCAATCTCCATTATACAGAGGGTTTACTTGGTTTTGAGTTCCACTTTGCTTTTTGCAAACACTCCTGCTGTGAGGAAGTTAGCATCATTGGAGACTCCTCAAGACTTTCTTATTCCTTTTAGGTGAAGAAGCTCTTAATGAGTACCTGAGAACAAAAGCTGTAACTGTGGAATACTGAACAGCTCAGCCAAGAAGCCCCATTCTTCCTCTGACCCATAGCAACTACAGGATTATAAACAAACAACAAAGTAAAAATGTTTCCTGGCATGGACATGCCAACCAGTGTCTCAGTGCAATGATCCAATTAAGCACATTTGCATTTATTCACAATAGGATTCCTCAAAGGAGTTCAACTCTTGCTACGGATTACTGTGATCATAAATTTTTCCTTCTTATAGCTATCATGTTCTCCTCCATCTGCTGACATTTAGGTCTATCTGAAGGTGAGACAGAAATCTAGAAACCATCAAATTTCTCATATTTCGTCTCTGCGAACCCTTTACTTAAGTTGGAAACATGCTATAATTTTTTATTTGTCCTAAGTAACTATGTGGATCTTGGCCACATTACACCAGCATCATACTTTTTTCCTGCAATAAACATTTTGCATATTTGAACTAACTCAGAAAACCAGTTTACCATAAACTTGGTTTATGTATCCAAGGAAGTGCACTTACAATAAATCTGTACAATAGTGAATTGAACATCTCTGTTATTCCCCTAAATAAAAAAAAGTTGTAGAACTATTTTGTAATCTGTTTGCCATTGAGTTGTACGTAATCTCTAATTGTGGGTGCCAATTACATTAAATAAATGCTTTTTTGATGTCCTGTAGTATTTCATGACCTAGTATTACATCTGTAAGATAACTTCTCTCGTTCTCTCATACATAACACAATGCTCTAAGTCAATGGTTCTCAACCTTTTTAATACCGTGACCCCCAACCGGTTGTAAGTCGAGGACTAAACCGATCGTAAGTCGAGGACTAAACCGTCATAAGCTGAGGACTATCCAACCGGTCGTAAGTTGAGGACTTTCCCTGCCCGGGAGAGCCGCGCATGCGTGGTGCCGCCCCCTGCATCGGCCGAGGCGTAGCTGGCAAGTGGCAGAGACGGAGCAGGCCGACCACCGGGTGGGCCACCAGCTGGCCCAGCCCAAGGGAGGTAAGGCACCCACAGGGCCCCACGCGCGCCAGCAACCCTCCCTGCGCCTGCTGGCCTCCCACCTCCCACCCCTGGCCCTCTTTTACTTACATTTTTAGTAGTTGCTCAGCAAGGAGGAGTGGAAACTTCCTGACAGCTTGCCTTCGCTGCAGACAACTTGCAGCACTGTTTGCAGAATGGGACTTCTGGCGGGCTCAGCAGGGCAGAGACAGCCTGGACAATTCCTATTGGCTTTTGAAAGCCATTAGAATTAGACTCTATTCAAGAGAGTCTATTCTATTGGCTTTCAAAAGCCAACAGAATAAAAGGGAGTAGCACAGCTAAGGAAAAGGGAGAAAAAAATGGTGGACTGCGTTGTTTGGCGACCCCCGTGAAATGGTCGTTCAACCTCAAATGGGGTCCTGACCCACAGGCTGAGAACCACTGCTCTAAGTCATACCGCACATATTAAGGTTTGACTCACTGAAAAAGTCTAAACACAACCATTCCGAATTATTCAACAATTTAAAGCCATGGATTAATGCAATTTGTTAAGATAATCATGCCAGGTTTTGAATGTATTTACTACTAGCAATTGCAAAATATTTATTGAAAACAGCATACAACATTGTGGTAAAAAATACAATGAACAGAAAGATAAGACTATAGTAGTGTTTGTCTCAAAACAGTATTGGAAATTATGAACAGAAAGATACTTTGCCATTTGTATCTTGCTTTTCAGGAATATGCTATGGAAAATAAATAGAAATTTTTGGTGGATTGTACTAGAAAATTTTATTGTACCTAAATTTTATTTATATTTATGTACTACATTATTATCAATTCACTCAAACATGGTCCTCTATGAATGTAAGTTATGGACCATAATCTACAATGTATAGTATGAGCTATTAATTGTTGTTACTTCCAAAGTCTTCAGCCTATTTGACTTTTCATGTCAAACATTCCTGATTTGCATCCAACCCCATTTTCAAGTAAGCAATAACAGCTCAAAAATTATTTTTTGGGGAATAGTCTTATGTATGCTCCGGTAATAATGCATAAGCTTAACAAATTGTCCATAAGAATAAAATAAAACTAATTTCAGTTCAATTTGACATGTATCTTGCAGGTTGATGCCTTTTACAGTATAAAACAAATACCGTGCATCTAAAAAAAATCTTTTTTATTCAGCTTAAATAAACTTTATGAGAATACAAGGCATATTTTAATTTCAAAGATGTAACATGTGATCTCACACTGGCTGGGATTAGAAACTCCCAATTTGATTTGTAACATATTTTGGACATTAAAAATATACTGGATTCCCAATGGCATTCCTCATTCTCCATTATGAATGCCGCCTATCAATCAAAATATATTTCAGTCTAACACAATTCTTTCACCCCTACCTTAAAGGACTTTTCAAACAAGGTAACTTTTGGCACAAACAAGCATGAATCCCAACCAGATTTGGGAGTTAGGAATTAGTTCATTTGGAAGGCCACTACTATAACATACAACAGCGAGTCACCAATCCAAATACTTTGTAACTGAAACAATCTAGAGTAACTGATCTTTTTTACAGAGATATTATCATTTGCCTCTATGTAACCCAAGAGTTGGTATTAATAAGTAACGTTATTACAAATTAACTCATAAATAGTTCATAACTATTGATTCTTCTGTTTCTGTCTGGTCCATTGTTCTTTTTGCTTTTTTCTCAATTTCACAAATGAAATCTTCATTAATTTCTTCTGATGATAGCAAACTTACAAAAGATTTTTATATACCTCTCAATATATGAAGTACACAGCACAACTTTCCAAAGGCCTTGAAAAATGAGGATAACATGTAGATATTGAAATGATAGGAAAATAAGGCTAATTCACCTACTCAGTTTTACCATCCAACATTTCTATTCGTCCTTCTCTTTTTGATAAAGAAAACTTAATATTTTCTTCTGTAACTTCTTCACAAATAGAGCTGTCCTCACATTCGGAATCATCGTCTGATTCTGTTGTATCACAGTCATTCAGTTCTACTAAGCCCACATTCTGTAATAATTTAATAATGAAAGTAAGATATTATTAAATGCACAATGAGAATGTAAAAATACATCAGTTTCAATGCTGAACTATGAAATCAAAAGTAGTCAATTTTTAAGTCATTATCTTAGACTTAGAAAATATCTCAACATCAGTTCATTAACTATTCCCACTAGTACCAGTAAAAATGAGTGGAAGTCCTAACCTACCAGATCCAATAGGGATGCTCAAGGTTCCCTTTACTAAAATGTCATTTTGTAGGATCAAGGAGATTTGCCTTCTCTGTTGTAGCCCCTATCTATGGAACAGCCTTCTCTGATCTTGGTTTTCTAGAAAGCCATAAAGACCAGGCTTTTTCTCAAGTATTAGGCCCAGGTGTTAAGGGAGCCTAAAATACAAATGTGTATTTGGTGAATTTGTTAATGTTACCTCCATTTTTCTTTTTATTGGATTTTTTAAAACTTAGTTTAGTTATGGCATTCTATTTATAGGTGGCCCTCAAATTACAACCATTTGTTTAATGATCAAAGTTCAAGCAGCACTGAAAAAAGTTTTCAGTTATGACCACTGCAGAATCTCCAGTCACGTAATCAAACTTTGGGTGCTTAACATCAGCATGTATGAACAATGGTTACAGCATCCCAGGGTCCTGGGAATATCATTTGCAATCTTCTATGGGAGTTTCTGACCAGCAAAGACAATGGGGGAAGCCACATTAGCTTAACGACCCCATGATTCACTTAACAGCTTCAGTGATTTACTTAACAACCATGGCAAGAATGTTGCAAAATGATTCACTTAACCGTCTTGCTTAGCAATGGAAATTTTGGATTGAATTGTGGTCAAGGACTAAGCGTATACGATTTTAGCAAAATGATTGCTTTCTGCCCTATTTCAGATGGTCAACCATTTAAGATGGTTGGCCATAGAAATGGTTTAAATAAACAGATTATTTGTATGACAGTCACTGTCAAGAAAAAAAATAGCCAAGAAAAAAATTGCTGGCTGGATTAATCAATTAATTGCCTTCCATGATCAGAGGCTGAAAACACTTACAAAAGAAATGCTGAAAACAAAGCACCACAGAGCCAGTGGCTCTCATCTGCTGCTTAGGCAAATCTTCTGGGCATGAGTTGGCCACCTCCATCAACAAGCAATGCAAGATCAGTATTGAAAGGAATTTTGGAGACAATGTAGTCAAATGTCTTCAAGTAGTGGAAGGTGCTAGTTTAGCAATCCCCCTAATTTGGGACTCTTCTGCATGTCTGGTGTATCACATGAAGAGTTTGTAGCAAACCTTGTCCCTGTTCAGGCTGATGGGGAATTTTGAGAAATACAACCCTCAAACATCCGGATTGCATACAGTAAAGAGAGCTATTCTTGAAACTTTGCCTGAAAAGTTTTTATGTGCTTAACTGAAAAGCTTTGTGATGCCCATCTCCTTGGCCTCCCAGAAACATTGCTTTTCAGGTAGATTTGGGGAAAGTGTTATATAGCAATGCAACTTTTATAAATTTTTTAGCTTGTAATTTTAGTCATGATTTTATTTTATTTTTTTCATTTGTACCCTGATTTTAATACTTAACTATATAAATTGTCTAGTATCTGGCTACTTTCAGGGAGTCAAATAAATTTGATAAATAATTATTTTAGTCATAGCACAGAAGTCAATTAAAAAAAAAGATGGTAATATCCAGGTATTATTGTGGATAACAGTTCTGAAGAGGTCTAGACACTAAAGAACAAGAGGTTTTTCTTATTTGAGTATATCATAAACATAAATGTAATGCTCCACGCCAAGGAATTAATTAGAAACAAAAATATATTCACCATTTCAATTATCTTTTCCATCGAAGGATCTATATTTTCTATGTCAAACTCTTGGCCAGGCTTGCTGTCCATTTCTCTTCTCAGTTGATTATTTGCACTAGCCATCTGGGGTAGAAAATTCTGCACCTTATCCAAAACTAATGTACAGAAACATGTTTATGAAGATATTAATGAGCTTCAAAACATGATTTAAAGAATTAAAAAAACCACCACTGATTAGGTGGTTAGGGTAGGAAGAACATAAGGACATCCAGCAACACCCCACATATAGGGAATGAAAATAAACATAGAAAATAAATATAGAAATATGCTGTTAATCAATTGCCATATTGCAAGATAAAATTATTATGTAAGATTTAAACTTCAAATTTATTTATTTATTTATGAGACTTATATACCGCTTTAAGTGCAAGCACTCTCTAAGCGGTGTACACCAGTAAGCAATGTATATATATATATTTACATTGCCCCCAACAATCTGGGTCCTCATTTTACCTACCTTGGAAGGATGGAAGGCTGAGTCAACCTTGAGCCCGTGAGATGCTATAGAAAAATATACTTCATGATATTTAGTTTAACTAACTGTTGAGGAGTGGGGAAACCAATTTTAATGTTCATCTCTGCTCTGTATAAATAATAGAAAATGCATGTTCTTTTCAAAGATCTCCACATATATTTAAGCTTTAAATCCTTTGACATTTCTGAGGATACAGCCCCTTCCCCCCAAAGGCAAGACTTTATTTATGATTCTTATTTTATAACATACATACATACATACATACATACATACATACATATAAATAATTCAGGAAAGACACAATCCTCTAAGTCAGTGTTTTTTAAACTTGGCAACCTTAAAATGGGTGGACTTCAACTTCCAGAATTCCTCAGCCAGCACACTGGGTAGAGAATTCTAGCAATTGAAGTCCACACATTAAAGTTGCCAAGCTTGAAAAACACTGCTCTAAGCCAGGGAATACTCTTAACTCACTGGTAAAATATATA